GTCCAGTTACCTTTGTCTATTAAAGCTTAAAATGTTGGGAAAGTATGCAAGCTATGAACAGCTTTTAAAGTTTGTTTTCTTTACAAAAAGAAGAATTAAATTCCCTTCCCCTCAGAGCTCAGTTTTATTCCAACCTATCATTGTACACTTAGTTCCTACAATTGTTCTTGGAACTGGAAGGCTAGACACTCAGAATGTCACCTAAACTTGTGTTTCCTTTGTTCTTCAATGCTCTGACCAAGTCTTAGCATAGCGTGTGAAGAAGAAAAGTGGCAGTTGATGGCTTTGTCAGAACTACCATTCCCTGAGTCAGTATAGTACATCCACTAGATAAACACAGTCAAACTCCAGGAGTTTGTTTTTTGAACTAAAGAAGCTTACTGTCAATCAAAAATTGAACAAGCAAGCTAAATAAGCCATAACAGAGAGACTACTCTTAACATGTTTTACAAAGTAGAGCCCTATAAGATAGCTTTTCTCTGCTGAATGTACCCAACTATCATCAAAAATCACAAGAGAACTGAAAAGACTACATCTGAATCGTATTAATTACACCAAAGTCAAATCCCAGACCAAAAGTACTAGAAGAGACTGGGTGGGTGGGTGGGTGGGGGTTAATTAAGGTTTCTATTGCTGTGAAGAGACACCATGACCACAGCAACTCATACAAATAAAAGCATCTAATTGGAGGGGTTCACTTACAGTTTCAGAGGTTCAGCCCTACCATCAGGGCTGGGAGCATGACAGCTGAGAGTATGGTGGTGTGTAGGCAGACACGGCGCTGGAGAGGCAGCTGAGCGTTCGACGTCTGGCAGGCAACAAATGAACTGTTTCACACTGACTGCAGCTTGAGTGAAAGAGACTTCAAAGCCCACCGCCACAGTGACACACCCCCTCCAACAAGGCCACGCCTGCTAACAGTGCCACTCCCTTGGAGGCCATTTTCTTTCAAACCACCACAGGGGCATGAAAAAGAAAATGCTGCCTCGTTTGGAAAGTCTTCTATTTGAGGCAAAATTCAAATGTTATGTAAGAATGAATACATTTGAGAATATAAGTTTTTTTGTTTGTTTAAGGCAGGGCCTCGTGTACCCCAGGCTGCCTTCACACTCCCTATATAGTCAAAGGCAACCTTAAAGTGCTGAGCTCACTACTGAATCTCCTTCCTGAGTGCTGAGATCGCAGGCATGTGCTACCATCACACCTGGTTTATATGGTGCCGAGGATTGAACCCAGGGCTTTGAGCAAACTAAGCAATCAACCCACCAATTTACCACATCCCCAGCTCCTATGTCAAGTTTTAATATCTTGTCTAGCAAAACATGTTTGCCCAAAGTCAAATAAAAGCGAGATAACTCACTGAGCTATATTGCCTGAGCTCCTCCAATGTGTAACAGTATCAACTTCTCTGTTGTTGCTTGAGACTTTTCAACTGGCTTCTCTGAGTGTGTGCTTTCCTGCTTTGCTCCATGCTCTTGTCTGTTTTGTTCTCTTCATAGAACACCCCACACACAGAATTCAACTATTGGTTTTCCCCAGCGGTAAGTCCTTGGCATTGCTTTTTACCACTTGAGACACACTCAAAATTTGTGTTTTGTTTTTTAACCATTTCAGCAGTAGATAATGTCTGTAGCCACCTAACATCTCTGAATCTGCCCTTAAAAGCATTTGCACATCTGGCAGCCTGCATGCCAGTGAAAACCAGCTGCTGATTTTCAATCTTAAATGAATCTTTGTGAAACTTTAACAGTGGGATCAGAGCAGAACAGGACACACAATTTTTCCCACCTTTCCCCACTAATTAAAACAAAATGCCGTGTCTTGTCACTACCACAGCTTTCATTGCACTAAAATGCTTCTGAAACCCATGACTTGATGCTGGACCTAGTTCCAACATGCCATTCACCACACTGTAGGAGGGGAGCGGGGACCCTGTGCCTCCTGCTCTTCCTGCTCTTGGTGAGGTCAATGACAGCTGTACCCTACTAAAAAGCATGTCTCATGATAATGTGCTTAATCCATACAAGCTTTGGATGAACTCAAAAGTTTTTTCAAGTTGGAGTGATTCCATAGCTCAGTCAGCAAAGCGCTTGCCTGGAAATCATGATCCCCAAAACCCATAGAAAAATGTATGTATGATTCCACAAGTCTGTGATCTAAACTGGAGGGGGAGCCAGGAAGATCCCTGAGCTTCAATGGTGAGTGATTCTAATGAAGATGACTCCCATGGACTGGCATATAAGAATGTTTGGTTCCCAGTGAGAGGATTAGGGGATTAGGAAGGTTTAGGAGTTGTGGCCTTGTTAGAGGAGGTATGTCACTGGAGGGGGGGGTGAGTTTTGATGTTTTAAAAGGCCATCAAAGCTTACTGGCTCTTGCTCCCTCTCTTCCCCCCCTCCCTTTTCTATCTCTCCCCTTCCTGTCTGTGGATCAGGATATAAGCTTCAGCACCATGCCTGACTTCCTGTCACCCTTCTCCCCTTCATAATGATCATGGACTAACCCTCTGAAACCATTAGCTATCCCCTAATTAAATGCTTTCTTCTATGAGTTGCCGTGGCCATGGTGTCTATTCATGGCAACAGAACAGTGACTAGACAGCTATCCAGACAACCTAGCCAAATTGGTGAGCTCTAGTCCAGTAAGAGACCTGTCTCAATGGATGTGGATGGTGTTTGGGGAGATTACGCCTTAGGTTGTCCCCTGTTTTCCAAGTGCAATTGTACACATGTGCACATGCACCCCATAAACATGAATACACACATACATGCATGTACAAAAATGTAAATAAACATGAATGTTCAAGTTAACACGGCTTAAGTTGGTCTCTACAAGATGCTTTCCCAATGTTAAGGTGCTCCTCGGGAGACAGTATTAGCTCTCATACAGCTCTCTGTATCCCCAAGCAAGATCGTACCAATGCTTGTTCCCCTTTTGCCCTAATTCTTATGTGAAAGTGGGAAGCTAGTATGGATAGCCTGGAAAGTAGTTTCTCAGACGTGACTTCTGCAGTGCAAAGAATATGTCTTAATTTAATTAATCCAATATTGAAGATGCCTAATGGAACTGGAGGATTTGGCCCTAGGTTCCTGTAATATCAGCATGTGCACTAACAAACTCATCATCCTGCTGGAACCCTGGAAATTGCTTAATCTTTTACTTCTGTGTGTCATTGTCTTCTCCTCAGTTTTCAAAGTATTCAGGCTGAGAGTGATTCTTGACACCAATGACTTTACTCTGATTTTAGCCTAAGTCCTCTAACACTTTACATGCTGAAGAGTAAATTCAGTTCGTGCCTACTTCATTGCTCTCTGCCTCAGTCTAAGGCCTCATTAATTTGTTGTATGTTCGCTATAGCATCAACCTATGGGTCTCCCTACCAATCATAACTCTTTACCAGTGTTGTGATTTCAATGTGAAGTTCCCCACGAAGGTTCCTATAAGGAGTGCAGTTGTGTTAAGCTGCTCAGAATTGTGTCATAACTTGGGTGCACTGGAGATACTCTCAATGGGAGAGAAAGGAAGATGAGGAAGTTGGTGCTGAATACTTGAAAACTGTATTTTTGGTAGAAAACAAAGTGTTACTTATCTAGCTTATCTGGGGAAACATACCAGGCTGGAATTCTGGGCATACCCCATGCATGGGAAAAGAATGATGTGGAGTTTCCCTAGCCTTTGTCATTTGGAGTCAAAAGGGAAGTGCTAAGCACTTACTGTGCCTAGCTCTTTTATGATATAGCTGCTATCTGGTCCCTGAGTATCCTATAAGCCTCCATTCTGTATCATTTCTTTTGCCTTCCTGCATCCTAGATCTTAAATAGAAATTCCTCAGATATTATGGAAAGACAGAGAGGGGAGATTGGAAACCCCCATCTGAGTCCGACCAGAACTACAAACGTCTCCCCATGGCTGCTTAGTGTCTCCCTCCCCCACTTCTCCTTAAGTGGTCACAGGCATCATGCAGGAGAGAAGTGGTTGTATCCCCAGATACTTAGCAGATGAAGTAGGAACGTTTCTTTAGCCTATGAGTTCATGATTGATATGGGCAGTATGGTGAGACCTCATATCAAAACAAAAGCAACTATGTTTGGAAAACCTTGAGGAAAACAACAATAAAAGCCTGAGCAATAAGCTTTACTTTTCAACCTACTCCCAGACATCAGCACTGTTTACACGTTCTGACCATGGCTTACAACTGTACAATTCAATTCAGTTCAGCAAATCACAGCTAGGCCCTAAGCCAGTACTAGAGTCCAAAAGCAACACGGACAACTGCATCCATCAGGCTGTGTGGCCTTGTGAGAGATGTTCTTGGCAAGGTAGGGAGCACTGAAGGAGGAAGATACTCCTGCCCTCTGAATGGTAGAATGTGGTCGGTAACCTTTGCAATGGCCCCAGTATAATCCCATTCCTTGACGTAATGACTCTCTTCTAAGAATCAGAATACAAACAACATTCATGGCATGTCACTTCTGAGATTAGTTTATAAAAAATTGCTGCTTCCATGTCGGTTTTACGATGACATGACTGATGGATGTTTAGGTTGATTATTGAATGGATGTGGTGAAGTCACTAAGGGACAGAGGACTGGATAAGAGGGAACATCTAAAAATTAAAAGGTTCTTGGAACAAGATCTGTCTAAATTGGTAGAATGTTTGCCTAGCATGCACTGAGTTTTATCACCACCACCCATAAAGCCAAGCTCAGTGGTACAGGCCCATATTCTTAGCACCTGAAAGGTAGAGGTAGAAATGTCAGGTCAAGTTCGCCCTTACAGAAAAATCTAGGATGGAAAGTGAAATTTGGGTTTTTCAATAAGTTGAGGTTAAACCATCACGTAGCAGAGGTCATCGTGATGGAGCAAAAGTGAGGTGTGGCCCTTAGCAAGGCCTGCGTTCAGAGGCTGTGATGAGGAAGCTCACATTAAGAAAACAAAAGAGGGCTGGAGATCGTGTTTGCTTGCAAACACGAGGTCTTGAGTTTGATTCCACATAAAAGAGGGCAGACCTGGCAGGGGAGATACCATGGTCACGAAGGTGGTTTTTCGAAGGGTGAGGCCTATCCATTGCACTCTGAATGTGCTGATCCCTCCGATTTCCCCAAATTCCGGAAACTTGACTGTATAATTTATGGTAGTGGGGGACTGCATTCACACTCTCCCCTGAAAAAAAGTAAAAGGTAGGCATGGCTGAGAGTCATCTCAGTCTAGGAAAACAGACAGGCTCACTGACTAAAAAACCTTGCCTAACCAGTGAGTCTAAGCCAAGGAGGGATCCTGTCTCAAAAAAAAAAAAAAAAAAAAAAAAAAAAAAAAAACCTAAGATGGCTATAAGATGGCTAGCTGCCAGGGAATGATATCAGAAGTTGACCCCAGGCCTCCACATATGCATGCACACACATATACCCACAGGAACGTGTGTGTGTGTGTGTGTGTGTGTGTGTGTGTGTGTGTTCAAAGAGAGCAAAGAGTAAGGTATAATTGCCAGGGAGGTTGAAGGAAGCCCAGGTACTCTTGTTCTTGTGGGGATAAGTAGAAAAAGTCCCTGAAGAGGGCAAAGGAGGCCAGGATGATGGCTAAGGAATGGAAGTGGTAATTGGTCTGCAAAGCTAGTCACCTTGACAGGCTAGTTCACACCACAGATCTGAGATCTGAGTTACCTTGAAACTCGAGCCTGGATTAGAAACATTTCCCATAAGCCCTGAGTCAGTTATGTTCCTTTTGGTTTCATATGATTGGCGGAGCCTTCATTGGGGGGTAGGGGGACATAAAACATTAGAACTATACAGATAGTTTTCCCAAAGTTTCTGCCCCTTCTTTGCCAGCTGATTTAAAGATCAAAAAAACAAATACATCATCTCACCTTTCTTACCTAACAAGTTCCACTGTGCACACAATTGATTCTGTACATGATGATTACCACACCTTCTAGCATCATCCATTAACACTGCAATAAACTGACAATGTGTTGAGTCAATATGACTCAGAAGTGTGCAACATCAGCCTCAAGAGTACCTGGAAAGTACTTTTCTAGTCTAGAAAACTATACCATTTCAGGAAAGAGCATCCCTTGCCTTATTCTCTTCACAACTCAACAGCACAAAACAGTTCCAGAACTGTATCACAGGAGTGAATCAGCATGACAAGGTCAAATTATTCATAGTCTATTTTTTGCAACAATCTCTTTGAGCTGATGCAAAGATAAATAAATGTGTTCTATGCATAACTCTGATACTCTCTGGGGATTCAATTTAATTAAAATATAAAACCACAGATAAGGCTTAACTTTTGTAAGGTCAGATTATGGTCAGAAAACCAACCACGCTCCTGGCCTTTGTTCAAAACTTGAGTGTGTGGCCTAAGGGCCAGGCTGGAGGTTGTGTTAGGTTAGCCGGGGCAGGGGCCAGATTGAACTGATGACCAGAGAAAGTCATGGAAATTTTGAGTGATCTGTGGAGCTCTATGAATAATTATACTACATACTCAGAAAGATGATTTCTGTGTGTTTCACTGTTTATGAGTGAGGTAACTGTTTTTGGCATCAGCAAGGTGAAATCATGATTGGCTAGACTCTCTGTATTAAGAAACACTTGGAGACTGCAATAAGCTAATGTGACTTTTAGTCAATTTTTATTCTCTCATATTGTTTGAAAAAAATTGAGATTTAAAAATAAGAATAAAACAATGATTTGTTTGAGCAACCATCTTTTAACAGTGGGGCCATACTTAGGAAATAACATACAGTATATGTACATTTATTTCTTATTCTTTTTCTTATGATACATAGAAAATATATGTTCAATGATGTTTAGAGAACCCCACATATGACCTAATGTACATTTCTATTCTCACTGATGATTACAAATTTTATTTTAGTAAACAGGTTTGCCATCATCTGGGCACTCATTCATTTTAGTTTGCAATTTAACTGTGAGAAATAAACTCTCAGTAATTCATTTATTATTTTTCAAGTCATCTTCTCACTAAAGCCTGCAGGTAAATATAAAATTTGAATTATTCCATCAAAGCTTGTATTTATGAGACCTTGTGTCTATATTTCCAAATTTCCTTTCAAGAATTTTCACCAGTATTCTATCATATGTATTATATTCATATATATTCTATTATACTATCATTGGTGATTTTATTGATGATCAAAATGTGCTATTTTGTCCTTAAAGTGAAACTTAACTGTTGTGAAATATTCTTGATGACTGGTGGGTGTTTGGCATCAATACATGTTGAATGAATGAACCAGAGTCTAAGACTGTGGTGCTTTGAAGGAAAATGCCACTCAAAGGGACTGTCACTATTAGGAGGTGTGTCCTTGTTAAAATAGGTGTGGACTTGTGGGAGGAAGTATGTCACTGTAGAGGTGGGCTTTGAGGTCTCATATATGCACAAGATATTGCCCAGTGAGACAGATCATTTCCTCTTGCTTCAAGACGTACGACTCTCAGCCACTTCTCCATCACCATGTCTGCCGGCATGGCACCATGTTCCACCATGATGATAATAGACTGAACTTCTGAACTGTAAGTTGGCCCTAATTAAATGTTTTCCTTTATAAGAGTCTCCGTGGTTATGGCGTCTCTTCACGGCCATAGAAACACTAAGACAAAGACTATATATATTACATTCCAGCTGCAGTTTCCATTCCCTCTTCCCTTCTCTCCTCCCAGTTCCTCCCCCTCCTTCCCCCTTCCTTCTATCTCCCCCCCCACCCAATCCAATCCACCCCTCTTCTGTTTCTGTTTAGGAAAGGGAAGGTTTCCCATGATAAAATATGACATATCAAATTGCAGTAAGACTAAGCACCCCCCCCACCATGTATTAAGGTTGAGCAAGGTGACCCAGTATGAGGAGCAAGTTCCCAAAAGCCAGCAAAAGAGTTGGAGACAACCCCTGTTCCTATGGTTAGCAGTCTCACAAGAAGATCAAGCTACACAACTGTCATGGATATGCAGACTGCCTAGGTCAGTCCCATGCAGGTTCCTTGGTTGTTGATCCAGTTTCTGTGAGCCCAGGTTAGGTGATTTTGTGAGTTTTCTTGTGGTGTCCTTGACCACTCAGGTTCCTACAATCCTTTCTCCTTCTCTTCTGAAGGATTCCCCATGCTCCATCTGGTGTTTGGCTGTGGAAGGCAATTACTCTTAACAATCATGCCAACTCTCCCTTATAACACAAATATAAGTTCAAGTGTTTGATTCACAGTCTTTGTCACTAAAACTTGTAAGACAATCATGATTATTCCTTGTATTGTTAAAGAGGTAGGCATGCTCATTATTTTTCTTTTTACATTTTTATTGTGTGTGTGAGAGAGAGAAAGAGAAAGAAGGTGTGTGTATGTATGTATGTGTGTATAAGAGTGTGTATGTATTTGAATGTGTGTGTATATATGTGTGTATAAGAGTATGTGTGTGTGATGGCGCACATGTGGACAACTTGCAGAAATCTGTTCTCTCCTTCTACCGCATGGCTCCTACAGATCCTTCTACCGCATGGCTCCTACAGATCCTTCTACCGCATGGCTCCTACAGACTGAACTCAGACTGTTTGAATTGATGAACTTTACCCCCTGAGCCACCTGATCAGTCATCAGTCAGTCATTCAATCAGTCCCCTTTCTGAATCCCATGATTTTTTCTTTGAATATTGACTATTAATGCAATAGTCATTAATCTCTACTAAAAGCATGGAAACAAAAATGATACAGTTGCCATTTCAGGGATGGGGAAATAGTTCAGAAGTATTGATTTTTGCCTAGGCTGTCGGAAGTCCTAAGTTCTATTCCTAGGTCTTAAAACTATCATTTGTAATACGATGTTAACAAGCTCATGTGCTTTCTCTGTGTTGGTCTCTCTTATAAGTATTTTACATCTATTCATATATTTCATCCTCAAGAGAATGATATAAGATGGGTAATATCATATCCTCATTTCACAAATGAGACTAATTTTGTATCAGTCAAGAAATCCTGAGCCTGCCACCTGTGCTCTCAGCCATTACCCACACATTTGCTTTGCCACTTGACAGATATTTGCTGGGTGTTTGCAGATGTGCCAGGCACTGTGCTGGCTCTGAGAGTCCAGAGGGGCTCAAAATAAGTAATTCCTGGTCTTTTGGAGGGTTCGTTAGGAAGAACAATGAATAAATATAGAAGCACAAGTTGAGGTAATTGCTATAAAGAGAAATTACAGGGTGCTCTGGGGTACTCTGAAGGGGCCCTTCCTGAGATAGGACAACCAGCAAAGGTCTCTCTGTGAAAGTAGTAATAAAGATACAATTAGACGGATTAGTACAAGTTGACTCAGAACTGGGAAAGAATGCACCAAGCTTTGGGGAAAGCATGGCAGAGTGTTTTCTAATCCCTTGACAAACTCTCAAAGAGAGAGAGAGAGAGAGAGAGAGAGAGAGAGAGAGAGAGAGAGAGAGAGAGAGAGAGATCCATCTTAGTCAGTCCTAGGCCATTAAAAATCAATTTCTCTGTATCCCCATCTTCTGACTCTATATTTACTACATCTTTTTTTTAGGTACTAACTGGCTTTCCATACAGTTTGGTAATAAAGGAAAATGAGGTGATTGGACAAACCTTTGGTGATTTATTTGTTGTTGTTTTGAAAGCCCTTTCTCCTTACAAATTAATAAGTCCATGTTATACCATTCTTGAGTACATTGTCTTCTTAAGTCAGTTTTATCAACTGCGATCATCTAGATTCTGTCTTGTTCCTTCCCAGCTCCAACCAGCTTTCCTTTCCACAGTTCAAATGTTTCTCTCTTGACCACCTTCACTCTTCCACATGAAGTTCTATAAATAGGTCATATTTGGTTTAAAAGAATGATTGATTTTTTATTAATAATGGATTCGGTGAGGACACACTCCATGATTATTTGGATGGAGTTTACTGAAAAGAGAGTTCATCTGGAAGACAGTCAGAATGAAATCATGTTTGGAATATTCAGGGAAGAAAGCAGAGACCATCTTGCCTTAGCAGTCATCATGTGCTGGGTGACTAACACTGGTATTCTTTCATGAGACTGTTTTACTAGAAAACTGTAGTAAACTATGCTGGTGTTTCCCCATGACCAGCATGGAAATGAGACTTTCTCATAATATTTACTTCTTCTTCAGAGTGCCCTAACAGCCCCGAAACATCTGAACTAACA